AAAATAATTTATAGCCTTTATATTGTGCTCCTATAATTTTTAACTAATAAAGTTTTATATAAAAAGTAATAATAAATATTTTTAATGGAAGAAAACAAAGAAAAATATAGATAATTCGAACAAGTAGGATAAGAAAATTACGTGACTTGGAACTAGGGGCGAGTCCACTATCGGGCATGGGCGGATTCAAGCGCGCCATTTTTTTGTTATTTAGTCCATCCAAATTCAGATTAATGCGAGGTCACAAGTTTTTCTTTTCCTATGTTTTTCCAAAAATAACAAAAATCCTACGTCCACGTGTGGAGGTTCGGGTATGGGCAGCCCACAATCGAATGTCGTTGCCCTTGTGTGTGTTGAATACACTATAAGGCTAGAGTTTGCGCCTTTATTGACTTCAATTGCTTTAGGACAACTGGTAACACCTGAGGTCTTACAAGTTGTAACAGAGCCAAGTTCACGCGTTCGATTTTCAATTGGAGCAATTGTTGAGGGTTTGCGCCTTTCCTATCACCAGTTGGATTTAGGACAACATTGCCAGATTCAATTCCCAATTGGAGCAATTGCTAAGAATTTGCGTGTTTCCTAACACTAATTGGTTTTAGGACAACATTACGGAATCGTCTTTCATTGTGAGGAGAGGTCGGGAAAATTTGGTAATGATATTCATGTTGTAATGATTGTTTATAAAACTATTTAAAAATAAATATAAAGAGACATGTAATAGCATAATTGGCTATAGGAAATTAAAAGGAATAAGCGTCCATTAACTTTTTGGTTTTTTGTTTTTTTAAATTAACTTACAGTCAATTTCTATCACTGTCATGAAGAACATTGGAATTATTATAAAGCTTTTGTGATACAATGACACCTATTATCACATTTGTCTTCTATCACAATACGGTTGCTATATTGAGGGAAGTTTTCAAGATTTTAGTGCTTTTTTTCTAATAAAATAAAATAATTTTTTTCAATGTTTTTTTTTCCCTCGAACCGGGTTAAAAAAAAAATTGAAGTTTGACGTCATCCAACGAAATTTGAAGCAATCCCGCAAGAGATGGTCTAATGGTTGGAGTAAGGGAGTTAGTGTCAATTGACCTAAGCTAGATCGAACTTGTCACATATAATTAATCTGGTATGGTTTACGTCGCTCTAATGATCTACAAATTATTATACGAGATAAAATCAAACCACCCATTTGTGAAATTTTAAGATTACTTGTTTTAGACACGCATGTGTGTAGCTCAACTGGTTCCGGATGTAGTAAGTTGGTACAAGGTCTTAGGATCGAATCCTGGCAGTCGCAGTGTAAAAATTTCAACTCCAATGAGAGTTGGTTCATTGTGAACATCAGATCCAGATCCGCAACAATAATTTACATTTTTTCATCAAATACTTGTCGAGAATTTCGTCTTTTGGTACAAGATTACTTATTTTAGTCTTTAAGGTACAACATTACAACACTAAACGTAAGAAAACACAATAATCATCAATTTTAAATCATTCATTATTGGAAGACAATCCAAATCTTTGGAAACTAGAGGGCTGTGGACCCCAAGAAAAAAATAGTTCTTTTTAGCATTGATTTTATTATAATTTTTATATATTTGTAACATGTAAAAAATAAATTTACTTCTTCTTTTTAAATAATTTTGTATTCAAATCAATTCTACAAATTATACTAAAATATAAATTCTATTTTTTTTAATAGAATCATAATAGATAAAATACACACACACACAAAAAAAGACAACGATAAAAAAATTGTTATTAAATTGCAATGTTTCACAATTTTAGAATCACGATCTATCAAATTGTTACATATTCTCAAACATATTATATATTTAGCAATCATATTCATTCACTAATGTACTTACATTTTTATAATGAGATGTTTTGAATATATTACATTTTAATTTATGTTATTTTAAATAAACAATACAAAAATATACATTTATTTGTCTACTTCCTGTAAATATTGCTGGAAAAATTTAACATACGTTATCCCTGAACCCATGGAAAAATCTCGGATCCCCTAATTCAAAATTGGTGGTGCTGCCCCCGAACTAGAGGTAACAAAAAAAATATATTATGAGTCAAATGTATCTAAACACATTGGATAACTCTTCAGAAAATAGGGAATAAATTCAGAACGGACCCGCTGCTTTTTGGAGATAAGCGGATTCCATTAAGCTCATGTCACGTGGAGATTTAATTAGCTGTAAAATTTAATTTAACCCTTAATCTTACCCTTAATTGATTTATTTATATTTTTTAGAAAATAACAAACCCTTATCTTTTTACGGTAAATTACTTTGGTTAATTGTTTTTTTTTTTTTTTTTTTGTTGTTTTTGGTTTTCTTTGTTACATGTAGTCTAAAATATCGATCAAATTTAAATCTGAATAAAATAATTTAACATGTATTTAAATTGTGGGTTTTGGGGACTTCTTCGACCCTACACCCGGTGATAAACACCGGGTGGATTTTCTACTGCCATGTGAATTTTTTTGTATTTTATAATATATTCCCCCACTTGGGTTAACCTGTAGGGGTTTTAGAAAAATACAAAAAACGAATCGTGCCAGCAAAAGACACACTCAGTGTTTATCACCGGATGTAGGGTCGAAAGAGCCGGTTTTGGGCGTGTTTATTCTTTCTTATTACTATTGTTCTCGTATTTGATATTTATTGGGTTTTATTAAAATAATAAAACACGCCAAAAAAACCATGAGCCAAATGATTTTATGTACAAGAAAACATAATTCCTTATTTTTTTTTTAACAAAAAAAAAAGAAAAAAAAACGAATAGGAAAAAAGTTGGTGTGCCTATATATATGGAAGTTACAGATCCTTCGATGCTACACCCGGTGTTTTTCACCGGGTGTAGTATCGAAGGAACCGAAGTTACATGCACTTAAAATTCTTAACTAGAGTAGTTAAGAAATTTTAAGCTTAAAATACCTACAAATTAGGGAAACATAATTAACCATTTTTTATTAAAATGTCCACGTGTCACTCAATGAGTGGAATCCGTTTTTCTTATTTAAATTGGGGATCCGTTCCAAATTTGCTCCCCAGAAAATAAATGATATTTTTTAAAAAAAAATTCTTAATGTACCGGTCAAATAATAGTTGAGGGAAATAATTTTTTAGTTTTATGAATTGTTCTTTTCAAATTAACAAGCATAGATTATTATATGAAAATTGAATTCCAATTAGAAAAGTCTCACAAAACAATGAATTTTGTGAGAAGAAGAGAAAGGTGTTGAAAACCGAGCCAAACATCACCTTAATAACATCACACGGAAGAAACAAGAAAGTGGGAGGCATTACTTTTTAATCCTTCCACATTTTAATAATCCCACTTTCCCCCTCTTTTTGTCTTTTTCACCCCAATAAAAAAATAAATATTGGTATATTCTTTTTGAATCTTATAAGTGGAATAGATTAATTAATTAATTAATTAAATAAATAAATTAAATAAAAGGGAAAAATACTATCTTGTCTCGCTCCACCAATCATGCCCACATACCAACCAGTGGCACTCTCTGTATTTTACTCGAAAACCAGACCCAATCTTATCTTTACCATTATCCCAACAATCACCCATTTATTTTATTTATTATCTTAATTTTTTTTATTTCTTTATTTATTTTTGTGGTCAACGGACCCCAAAATAAATTAAAATGGAGCCGATATTATTATTTTCTTTAATAAATAAATATTGCCCCATTCACAAAACTAAGAAAGATGGAAGTAATCAAACTCTCTCTGTCACACAATTTTTTTAAGGTTGCGTAAGCGTATAACTAAAATTTGGACTTTATAATTCAATTTTGAATTAATTATGAACAACTTCTCTGTGCTATAAGACAAAATTTACTGACAGAATGGTAAAAAAAAATCGTATGTTTGTACTTTATTGATGACATTAGCAATTAGTGTTCACATTGCTCCTATAATTATATCTTTCATATATATATATATATATTTATATTTATGTTTATGAGAATTTGCTAAAAAGTATACGATTATTTTTTGTTTCGATTAAAGTCACACGGTAGTTTATCGACAAGCGTTCAATATTAAACTTTTCCATCGAATTTCAAAAGTTTGCAATTTTTACTAGTATTTAGAAGTTCGCTGTCAGTTTTCACCATCAATTTTAGTAATTTTGTTGCAATTCTAAAATATTATTTAGAAATTCACAGTAAATTTTCAATAGTTTACTGACACGTGTTTGTGTGTGATTTTGTGTATACGGTGAGATTCTACCTGGTGTAATGCATTGAAGTAGCATAGACAAGACCCAATCAGACCGTGATTGAAGGAGGAAGAACTTTGAGAGAAAAATAACCTCACTATATGTCGAAGTCCAAAAAAATATTTTTGATAAACGAGGTTACAGATTTTATCAATAATATGATTTTGATATCTCAGATGCTACATTTGTTGAAAAATACCGGTTAATTTTTCATCTTTGATTTATATGCAGTCACACACATATACATATATGTATAATCATATAGATGAAATCACACACATTTGTTGACATATACTCAGTTAATTTTCCACGTTTGATTTATATATAATCACACGCACACACATAAACACAAATGCGTATAAAATATGTATGAAATCATATACAATCACACATACACATAAAAGTACAGATGCGTGTAAAGTAAGTATAAAATCACACACATTTGTTGTAATACACCGGTCAATTTTCCATATTTGATTTATATACAATCACACACTCATACATATATACACAAATACATGTGAAATATGTATAGAATTATACGCGTGTACGATAAAACAAAACTCGATAAAGTTAATGGGGAAGAACAACATAGAATAACATTTAGTATAATAAGAAAAAATAATGAAGACCTTTTACAAGCAACCCATTTGTGAAGCCCTACTCTTGTAATCACATCCAAACAGACCTTAACCAAAAATAAAAATAAAAAAATAAAAAATAAAAAAAGGAAAATTAAATGAGGCAATTATTTTGGTGTCTTTCTGCAAATAAAAAGATTCCCACAAAGCAAAAGATCTATTGAACAAAATTCACTGTTTATTAATTAACAGAGTCGGATACCCCCCCCCCTCTTTCCCTCCAATCATTCTCTCCAATTGTGTGCGATTTCTCTCTTTCTCTCTCTAAAAAAGAAATTGGTACCCAATTATTTTCTCTCTCTAAAAAAAATACTCACTGGTGATCCGGCGGGAGAGAAGGAAGTGAAAGAGTAGAAGAAAGCAATTCCTATCCTTCTACGGAACTGTTTTTTTATCTCTCCGACTTTTGTTTATTTGTTCGTTTCTGTTTTCCGTGTAAATTCATTTCCACCCAAATTAGATTTTCTTACATCTTCTCTTTTGGCTGTTTTTAGTCTTCTTCGCGAGGTACTCTCTCTCTCTCTCTCTCTCTCTCTCTCTCTCTCTCTCTCTCTCTCTCTCTCTCTCTCTCTCTCTCCCCCCCCCTCTCTCTCTCTACAAATATGTATGTATGTGGTTTTCGGGAGTTTTATCCCGTCATTTTTCACTGATTGAGGTGGGGTTTGTCTGTATTATGATTTTTAGGGTTTTTTTTTTGTTTGTGTTGAAGATGGGAATTCGTGTTCAAAACTTCTAAATTAGATGATTATTATGGTAAAGTTGCGATCTTTATGTGGTGTGTAGTACTAAAAGTTGTGATCTGTTCTGGATTTTGTTGGATTTTTGCATGTGGGGTGGGTGTCTAATTATTGGGGGTTTTATTAATGTCTTCGATTTCGAGTGCGTTGTATTAATTTTCGTTTTTATGATTGGGGAATTTATCAATTATTAGTTGATTATCTGTTTTAGTCTGCGGGCAAAACCAGATTGTGAAGACAAGTTTATTGGATGTAATTGTTTGGATTATCCATGTTGATTTATGAACTACACTCTGAAGTATATTCAGTGGATTAAGTCTTTCGTTCCAGTGTTTTCGAGATGTGTTCGTTTTGTATTGAATCTATTCTTTCCTCTCTATGTAATGCTTATATTCTTCTGTAGTGAAGTATGCGATTTTTAATTTTTTTATATCCATTCTTTTTTTCTTCATTTCCAATACGATGTGCATTTGCTCCGTCGTTTTCTTGTTACGGCACAGAAGTAGCTAATGAAGCTTGCCTCATAGCATATCTATTGAGCTTGTTTCTAAAATCGGCTATCTTTCTCCTTGTATGTGTCCGATTCGTCTAGGAAATTTAGCATTTTACGCTGCTTTTGGCCAATATATAATTTATCTCGCTTCTGTTCCACTCAATGTACTTAGTGGCCTTGATTATTAATTAATATTTCCGATTACTGTACAGTTTTCTACCTCTCACTAAGTAGTTTTCGCAGGAAGTGATTTCAATGGAGCAGCCATCGAAAAATCCCTTTGCCGGTTAGCATAAAGATCCTTATGTTTTTTCCTAATCAACACGTTATGTACCATTTAATATATTCTTGCACATTTTTTTACGAACTTGCGTGCATACATCTTCCGTATCCTTATATGTCCATTATCTCAAATCTGTATTTGTAGGTCCTTCTAAGTATCCTTTCGCAAACATTCCCGAGAAAGAAAAAAATGCGTGGAAACTTCCAAGTGGAGTTGGTCCGTATCACGCTTCTTCAGACGCTAGCCTGTTTTCCACCTCGTTGCCTGTCTTTCCACAAATGAAATGTGAGCTTACGTAAATTTAGCTACTAACTATATTCTTGTTATATTTTTTTTTTTTATTTCTTAGCTTGGCTTCTTTTAATTTGCAGTTAATTTTAAAGAATCCGGACAAATTGGCCAATCAATTGATGATGAATTCCCAAGCCTTAGTAAGGTTCGTCTACAAAATGAATCCAAGAATGCGCTTGAAGATATTGAACCAAGTACAGTGGGAAATTTTCTACCCGGTGATGAAGATGAACTTTTAGCTGGTATTATGGATGACTTCGATCTTAGTGAATTGCCAACTCAGCTTGAGGAATTGGACGATGATTTCTTTAGTGGAGGGGGATTGGAATTCGAATCCGAAAGTCAAGATAATCTGGTCAACGGTATATCAAGGCTAAGTACATCGGATGGTATTAGTGGAAGCAGCATTTCGGCTTATGCTTTGACAAACGGTGTTGGAACTGTTAGCGGCGAACACCCGTATGGAGAGCATCCTTCGAGGACATTATTTGTCAGAAATATCAACAGTAATGTCGAGGATTCTGAACTAAAGTTGCTCTTTGAGGTATTTTGTTGATCGGATTTAATTTAATTGATTTTTTTTTTTAATTGAAAAACCAACTTTTCTTCTAATCTGCTTTCTTTCGCCCTCGTAACAGCATTTCGGAGATATCAGAACCCTTTATACTGCCTGTAAACATAGAGGATTTGTGATGATATCATACTATGATATCAGATCTGCCCGAACTGCAATGCGAGCATTACAAGGCAAGCCTTTAAGGCGAAGAAAACTTGATATTCATTTTTCGATTCCGAAGGTAAATCAATCATTATACGGTATCATTTTTAACAATCTAACATTGCTGAATATATTGCCACCAACTAACCATGGTTCGTTGATCATCCAGGATAACCCATCCGAAAAAGATATTAACCAAGGAACTCTAGTGGTGTTCAATCTGGATGCTTCTGTATCCAACGATGACCTTCGCCAAATATTTGGAGCTTACGGTGAAGTTAAGGAGGTAGAATTTTGATATCAAGATTCCATTTTTTTTGACGTTTTCAAGATTCCATTTATTATTAGTGTTTTTAATATATATATTTTTTTTTTCATTTGATTACCCTGCTTATGTTAGCTGAACTGTATTATCTGTATTTTGCATCAATTGCAGATAAGGGAGACGCCTCATAAACGACACCACAAGTTCATAGAGTTTTACGATGTTAGAGCTGCAGAGGCGGCTCTCAAGGCTTTAAACAGAAGTGACATAGCTGGGAAACGCATAAAGCTCGAACCTAGTAGGCCTGGTGGGGCCCGTCGTAGGTACACTCCTTATTCATGCTTACAGCCGGGCTGATTTTTACATGCGTTTTTTCTTCTTCTCAAGTTGTTAATTCGTATTTTGTAGACCAAAAGTTGCATCTTTGATAACGACAAATTGCCATTTTAATTGTTGTCTTGGGTCACATTAAAGCTGCTTATTTGCGTCCACATTTTAATCGGATTAATTTTTGTGTGCACAGCTTAATCCAGCAGCTTAGCCAGGAGCATGAACAAGACGAAGTTCGAGCATTCCTTCATCACGTTGGTTCACCTTTGGCCGACTCTCCTCCAGGCATATACTTGGATGCATGTTCATATTATTTCTTTATTTTTTTTTTTTTTCGATTTCTTGTTAATAAATGAAACGGAAAATCGACAAATTCTTTGCAGGTAGCTGGCCCAATTATGGAAGCCCAGCCGAGCACAATTCATTACACGGATACAGTCCCACACTAAGTCTCAGCCCCGTTGGAAGCAATCACTTACCAGGCTTGGCCTCGATTCTCCCCTCTCATTTTTCCAGCCCTACAAAAATTCCACCGATCGGTAAAGATCCACTCAAGTCAACTAATAATAACACCACACAAGGATTACCTTTCCAGAATAATTACTCTGTTCCCGATCCTAACTCAAGTTCGAGCCCCGGAGCTGCATCACCGTTCGATTATTCGAAGCCCGGCCCGTCTAGCGTCGGAACACTCTCGGGCCCGCAGTTTCTCTGGGGAAGTCCCACTATTCACTCAGACAAAATTACCTCTTCGCCCTTCTCATCTTCTTCATCGAAGGGGCATCCATTTCAATCTAGTGGACAGGGCATTGGTTTTCCTTACAGTAACAACCGCGGTTCGCTTCTTGGTTCACATCATCACGTGGGATCCGCTCCATCTGGTGGTCAATTCGAGAGGCACTTCGGTTTCTACCCTGATTCGCCTGAGATGTCTTATTTAAAACAGGCGGCGGCATTTGGAGTGACGAATTTCGGTCGTAATAGTGGGAATAATAATATATTGAATAGTATTTCTTTTGCTGGGAATTTCGGTTCGCCTAATTCTGGAATAATGGCAATGCCGAGAAATAGCCCTGTTTATTACGGGAATGGCTCTTTTGGCGGTGATGGAATGATTGATCGGAGTCGAAGTAGAAGGGTTGAGAGTGGGACCCAGCAGATGGATAATAATAAAAAACAGTATCAGCTCGATTTGGACAAGATTGTGAATGGTGAAGATAGTAGGACTACTTTGATGATTAAAAACATCCCGAATAAGTAAGAATTTCGAGAATTTATCTGTGTACTTTGAAATGCTGATTTTTTATTATTTATTTATTTATTATTATGTTTTTTCCGTCTGTGAAGGTACACTTCGAAGATGCTTCTTGCAGCTATTGATGAAACCAACAAGGGTACATATGATTTTCTGTATTTGCCAATAGATTTCAAGGTAATTTTGCAGTGGATTTGAAATTTTTTGTTTAATATTTTGGTGGCGAAACTTGAAATCGGAAATTGTACTGATTTATTTTTTGGTCCAGAATAAATGCAACGTTGGGTATGCCTTCATCAATATGGTCTCTCCTTCGAACATCATCACCTTCTACGAGGTTTGTCTTCCATTTCCTATATATATATATATATATAATCGAACTTGATCACTGATCACTCACAAAGTGGAGGTTTATATAATCTTGGCAGGCATTTAATGGGAAGAAATGGGAAAAGTTCAATAGTGAAAAAGTTGCTACTTTGGCATACGCAAGAATCCAGGGAAAAGTTGCTCTCGTCTCTCACTTTCAGAATTCGAGTTTAATGAATGAAGATAAGCGCTGCCGCCCAATTCTTTTCCAATCAGAGGGCCAAGGCACTGCTGATCTGGTATGTTTGTGCGTGTGTGTGTGTGTGTGTGTGTGTGTGTGTGTGTGTGTGCGCATGTAGTAGTTTCTCAACTGCATAGTTATAACATAAGAATCTACGGGAATTGCTATATTATTAATAATATTATTATTATTATCTACGGGTCTTCTAAGTATCTTATATGAAGTTGTTTTTGGACGCACAGGAAAATTTCCCGTCTGGCAATCTTAATATATTTATCCGCCAGCCCGATGGATCTTACGTAGGAGATTCTCTCGACAGCCCAAGGGGTGATTTTGATGCATTTTGAAGCCAACTGTTAATATAAGTCACTTTTGTATATTTTGGCATATATCAAAGTCTTCTGTTAATATTCGAACTCGGTTTGTGCATATGGTTACTCTTTTTTTTTTTTTTCTTCTTTTGCGATGGATACTCGTTTCTGTCTTGAGAGAATCTTCGATGAGGCAGTGGCAGCAGCAAATTGTCTATAACTGATTTTAATTTAACAAAGGAGGAGGAATGAGGCGAATCGTCGATGAATATGCAAAGATTTCTCTCTCCTTTTCTTTTTTTTTTTCTTTCTCGTTTTTTTGGGTCAATATAATTCGAACGTGTTCGACTCTATTGATGTATAGTAATTTATAGAGGTGACTTGAGAGTCGGAAGTTGTGTAATGGCGCAGGGTGGTGTTTCAGAATTGTATAGTGAGGGCTATTAACACACCCCGAAAGTGTTCTGTTTCCGTGGTTTTGTATAAATACTCGAAACTCCGTATTTATTTATGGCATGGATATAAACTGTTTTTTTCCGGGAACTTCTATTTCTGTACTTTGATGTGTGACTTATGCAAATGTTTGTTATACTTGTGCATTTAGTATATTTGCATATTTTAAGTTGAATAAGCATTATTACCTTTAGTTGCTTACAGATTACTTTTTTAATTCGTTTGGCTTTTCTATTTCGCATTTAAATTATAATTATGTTAAATACTTGAAATTTAATCCACGTACAGGTGTTTAATTCAGTGTTCCAAAAATTGGTCGAGGCGGCCGACTAATCGGTCTCCGAGCGGGAGGCGGTTTAAAATCTTTACAATTTTAGAGTAAATGTTTGAAAAATTGGTTTTTGCCTGTGAGGCGGTCAAATCTTGGAGGCGGGTCAAACTTTGGTGTCAAAAATCGGTTAAAAATTAATTTTTTATTTCTTATATATATATATATATATATATATATATATATATATATATATATGTTCTTTTTTTTTTATAATTGAAAAAAAAATGAGTTATATTCTATTTTATATTGTTAATGTTAATTTTTATTTTGAAGGACCGGATGATATATATTTGCAATGTTCAAGTATAATTTTGGATTCACAATATTTTTTTTTAAGGATTTCTATTATACTATGATCCTATTATTATTAAGAGTAAATGATAAATAAGCCAATGACAAGGACATAAATGTACATAGGTCGAGATAAAAAATAGTCTTGTAAATAAACTCATCCCTTGTCTTGTCTAAAATACCCTTCATAACAAAATTTTCAACAATTCTATCCATTATACTCTAACTTTATAAATATTGCAGGTTGACCCTGGATTTGAACAAATATATCACATTAACCCCATTTTCATAATTTTTTAAAAAACATATATATTTTTTTTTTCAGAAAATAATTTGTTTCCGTCCAGATTCCGGTGTTGACCACGCGGCTCTCCGACGTTGATATTTTTGGTTTTTCAACTTTTTTTTTCTAAAATTTTTTTCCGGCCGATCAACCGCCGGTCTCTGCCATTGATTTTTTTTAGAACTTTTTTTTCTCTAAATTACTGTGTTAACAACAAAATTATTGTCTGAGATAGTAATATTGAATACCAAAACAGTAATATTACAAATATTATCGTTCCAAACAGTAATATTTCTGTCCCGAACATTAATATTACTGTCCTAAACAGTAATATTATTGCATGAGAAAGTAGTATTACGGTCGACGACAACAAAATTGCAGGCCAAGACGATTAAATTAATTAATACAGTAAAATTACTCTCAACCAGTAATATTACTATCTCTGACAGTTAAATTTCTGTCTCAGACAGTTAAATTACTGCCTCCGACAATAATATTACAGTTGAAGATAGTAATATAACAGGCCAAGACATTAATATCAATTAAAATAACATTTTTTTACAGAAAAACAAGAAGTTTATAAAAAAAAAGTTTTCACAAAAAAAAAAAAAAGATAACGGTGGCGGTCAAAATTGGAATAATTGTCAAAATTGGTTCATTGGTGAAATTTGGCCAAATTGAGGGTGTAAATCATGAAATTGGAGTTGAATTAGGGTTTCAAGGAGTTGGTGGTAATTTTGGTATATATAAAATGATTCCTTATTTGCAAATAAGTTTGAATGACATGGATTTATTTGGCAAACAAAAAAGTTGGATATCATTTTTTTTTAATTAAGTGCTTTTGTCATGGGTCTATTTGCCATTTACCCTGTTTATTATGTGATTATGATATATAAATGATGGGAATAAAATTATGTTTAAATATATTTTGAGTATTTACGAATAATATCTAACATTGTATTACATTAAGTTAAAAAACTAATTTATTTTCGATTTATCATCAATTAATCACCACCGCACCGATTATTCTTGAAGCGGTGCCTAACCGACTTGGGTCTGTTTGATCTAAGTCTGGAAATTACAAATAAACCACCCCTCCGAGTCTAAATAATTATTAAAAAAAAATTAAAAAATATAAAAAAAATTTAAAAATAAAATAAAATAATGGTTGCCGGCGTGGACTATGCTCGTTGTGTTGAATTTTTTATTATTAATTTTTTAGTTTTCCTTTTAATTATTTTTGTGTTTTTTAATAATTATTTAAATTGGGAGGGGTCGCGTTTTTGTAATTTCAGAGTTTAGACCGAATGGTGTTAAAGCCAAATGTTTGACAACTAACAATATGGGCCACATTGATACAAATTTTCAAGTACAGGGGAGCAAGTCGATGCAATCGAAAGTAGAAGAGAATAAAGTAATACGGAGCCAAAGTAGGGGGAGGGGTGGGGTGGAGTGGAATTTACCCTAAAATATATGTAAACATAATTTTATCCCCATCATTTATATATCATAATCACATAATAAAAATTTAATAATAATAAGATCATAATATAATAAAAATCCTTAAAAAAACAAAAATCTTGTGAATTCAAAATTATACTTAAACATTGCAAGTATATATCATCAGGTCCTTTTAAAATAAAAATTAATATTAAAAAAATAAAACAAAGCATAAACTCAACTATTTTAATTAAAAGTCCAACTTTGTTTATTTAGAAAAATAGGAATATTTGATCAATTTTTGCCACTAAAATTTGATCCGCCTCCAAGGTTTAACCGCCTCAAACTGTCTCGGATCGCCTTAAACCGCCTAACAGGCAAAAACTTATTTTTCAAACTTTTACACTTAAATCGTAAAGGTTTTATACCGCATCCACCTTGGAGGCTAATTAATCGGCCACCTCGACCGAGTTTTAGAACGCCGCCTTTAGCCCACCTTTTTATTTATGATCTTATAATAAGTAAAAATAGCTTGTAAGATTATTATCCAAACACTTGAAAAAGTTAATGAAAAAAATAAGACGTAACAACTTATCAACTCTTAAAACAACTTATCAGTTGTTTAAAATTATAAACTTAGCCAAACGGGCCCTAAGATCGAATTCGAACCCCTAATTTTTAAAAATAATCTATGGCTCGTGATTATTTTGAAGATCAATATCACTTAAATCGTTTAAACGATTTCTTTCATCTTCATCTTCATTAATCGCAAAACCCAGGAAAAAACGCATTGAATCGGTCTTGAATCGCAAGAATTTATAGAAATTGAATTTGGGTTGCGATATTATGAGGATTGGTGAAGAAATTGAAGAGAAATGTGTGAATTAGACTTGGGATATTGAAGAAATTTGTTCAAATCCGTTTTTCAGAAACACTAATTGCGTTTCTTCTTTTTCGTTTTTTTTTCATTTTTTTAATTGCGGACTAATATCGTAAACATCGTATCGTATCATGATACGGCGATACGATATGATATCTCACGATATTTAACGGTATTTATTAATAAGCGATACAGAACCCGAGTTGTATCATTTTGATTTAATTTGAACTGTACCGTATCGTGATATATATCGCGGTATACTGCGAGGTTAACTACCATGCTCATTAGCAAGTATTTTAGCATTTAACCAAGACTATAACAGTAAAATAATATTATTGAAACATTGCATAACTTTAGCTATGAAATGAGCTTAAACAATTATATATTCATGCACAATTTTTAGCCATTCAAATGCGTATTCACTATTCAGTGTTTAATCTTATCAAACATAACCTAAATTCACTGGTTACAGTATATGACTGTATATTGATTGTTGAGAATCTGAAGTTTAACTAATATTACAAATTACAGTTTTAAAGCACGTATATTTATATTCTAACTTCAAAAGATGGACAGATTTACGATGCATGCAGGTACGCAACTGCGATCGAAACTTATGTCTCGTGGACTATGGATTCAAACGTGATCCAAAAGTTTGGACTAGGGTTCCAAACGTGTCCGGTGCGAGAATACATGTTAAATGCATTTTTGTATAATATTGTAAAAAAAAGTACAATCTGTTTAACATTTATTGATGCTACTACACATTGTGAAGTTCACTAGGTATTAATTGCTTATCGTAAACATGTACGTACGTATCCATCGAATACGCGTTTTACACACATCTAGATCCAAATGTATATGCTTATAAATTATATGTTTCACGAGTTATCTCGGACTAGCTAATATAATAATGATGACGTGTACAAAACAATGTTGAAAATACGAGATGCTACTAAACGAAGCAGCTGTAGATGTAGATGGGGTGATAATTGGCCCCGCGCCAAAAACTCGTGATCCGCTTGAATTCGTTATATTTAACACAGATGAAGTTATGCTGCAAAATTTATAAGCCACCGGTTAGATCTTTTTATTTTCTCTCTCAATTTAACAATAATTATAATTAATTATTGAACTTAGAAATAAAATAAAAAATTATTCACCTAATTGATGGATAGATGCATGAACCATGGCCTGCACAAGAAGATCGTATAATCAATATCGCTTATTATGTAGCGTTTACACTATCCGAACGGATAAAAAAGCTCGTTGCTTAACGAAAAATAGTTTTCGGTCAATTTATTTTAAGGACAAAATGGACTTCACCCCCTATAAATTTCACATTTTCGCACTTTCCCCCCTAAAAATTCAAACAAAGGGTAACCCCCCTTCGAAAATACTGTTTCGGTTTCACTTTTCCCCAAAAGCCAACTTTTTGTGGGCATCTTGCACCAAAAACAACATTTTAAAGTGGCAATGTGCCGAACTTTTTTTAAGGGGCAATGAGCAACAAAAATAATATTTAAAGGGGCAACGTGCAACAAAACACTCTATTCCGGTGAATAATCCATGGGAATTTTGCTATCGAGGCAGTGTGCAATAAAAATAACATTTTGAAGGGGGACATTCACTTTTTTAAATTTAGAGGGAGTAAAGTGCAAAAGTTAAAACTTTATAGGGGGTGACGTGCAATTTGCCCTTCTTTTAATTAAAATTAACCCATAACCATAACATGTAAAAAAAACAGTTTGAGAAAGCAAAATCATATTACTTGGATCAGTGCTTGTGGTAATTGCAGAGCCACCGAAATTGCAGCTGCTGGGGATTGGATTCTTGTGATAATAACTATTGAAGGCATAAGAGGC